CAAGGCCTGGAGTGATTGCCCTGAGTTGTCCTTCATCCTTCTCTAGGGCTGACAGGACTGTCCTCTGTGCCTTGTAAATCACCTGCTTGTGCCCCTAAGCATTGATCGACTGGCAGCCTCTTGCATGACATCCTTTGAAGAGTTTCTTAAGTCAGAGGGCAGTGCTGTCCGCCTGATCTGCATCATGTGTTCATTCTTGTATCCACTCGGTAAGCTCTGGGCGCCTGTTTCGTGCTAGCGTCATGCCTAGCCTGGAGATTCAGAAACCAAACAGTGCCTGTCCCCAGGAAACTCCCAGGGATGGCAGGGAAATGGCCAGGGGGACAACTTATGACAGGTCAGGGTGATCGAGTACAGTTGTGAAGCATACGAGGGTCAAATAGATTTTCTTTTATTAAGAGGGAAAAAATCCCAATGTCTACGAATGGGGCGACACGAATGGAGGTGCCCACACGACAGGCATCGGCCCGTGGGCGTCCAGCACTCCTGTAGACGTGGACTCTGCTCACACGTGGGACGAGTAGCCTTGGGTAGTGGCTGGTGACGTGACCCTCAGATACAGCCCTTGATGTGAATATTGAAGGAAAGACGCCACATGGGAGGGAAGCATGTCACAAAAGTGAGCACAGAATCTGTGTGCTTTGACGTCCCCTCTCTGCAGGGCACCGGCCCCACCCGCCTGCGCCATCCCAGAGGCCGAGGGAGGCCTCAGGCCTCACCAATGTCAGGTCACTTAGGATGCCTATGGCCAGCGTTACACCCGCAGTCCTCCTTTTCCTGTCCTGTTCCAAGTCACTGCACTAGTCCAGGTGTCTGGTTGCCCAGCGCTTTGGGGACTGAGGGTCCCCAAAGTTCAAGAGTTGGGCCAGGCACCTCCACCTTCTACGCCCTAAGGTTGCTCATGGCCCCGTATGCAGTTCTCCACACTTCCTGCCTTCCAAAGGGAAACACGGCTGACTGTCAGAGGCAAACATCACAGAACATGCTACACAACTGCCAGGATCGAATATTTTATTTCGTACATATTAAATTGTAAATGCTGTTAGGAAGTATATAATCACAACATTCTGGGCCTGCTAGACCAGTCTCTTTGGGAGGGCTCCCACCCCCCGCAAACAAGATAAGTAGCAGTTTCCTAAACAAGAAAGCAGTTAGTGTCAAACTTCTAACACTGGCCACCCCAAGGAGGTGGGCTACGCTCACTGCCCTGCTTCCAAAGGGTATAGAAGGGGAAGGAGGGAAAGTACCTTCACTGTGGAGAACCCTGTAAAGGATTGCTACGGCAGCAAAAACTACCGCAGCCGGGTGATAAAAGTTACGCCGTCAGGGAGAAGTCAAGCTGATGGCAGGTTCCCGTGATACGAGGTGATGGAAATGGCAGTTTACCTCTGTGCGCTTCTCTCAGAAACACATCAGCCTAATCAGGAGGAAAACATCAGACAAACCGAAACTGAGAGACAGTTTACAAAATACCTGACCGGTACCCCTCAAACTGTTAAGATCATCAAAAACAGGGAAAGTCTGAGAAACTGTCACAGCCCAGAGAAACCTGAGAATATATGACAACTAAATGTCTTGGATGGGATCCTAAACCAAAAAAAAAAAAAAAAGAGAGAGAGAATTAGGGGAAAATCGATGAAATCCAAATAAAGCATGGACTAACAGTGACAGTAATGCAGCAATTTGGCTCCTTAGCTGCGATAAATGTACCACAGCGACATAAGATGTTAACGGTAGAAGTGGGGATTGGGGAATGGAAACTCTCTGAATTATCTTTGCAATTACTTGTCAATCTACAACTATTCTAGAATTAAAAGCTTATTTAAGTGCGTGTTTAAAGAGCCTAACCTTCAGCTGTGCTCTTTGCAGACCCTGGCAACCAGTCGCTATGCAGTGGCGACCACCCAGCTGAGGCACAACAATCTCTCACTAGTTTTCCACTACGTGTTCCTCCAGCTATGCAGGGCCCATGGCATCGGCTATGACCTCGAGGTATGAAGGGTTACAGTTGACCAGGGTTGGACCAAATACGGGCCTGTGGGTGATCTAGGTATAGCGAGTACTTGGTGCTCCTCAGATATTCTTTAAGTATTAGTTGGACGTGTATTTAGAGGAGAGCCAAGCACTGCCTGGGGAAGGGCAGAAAGGCAGCTCCTCAGAGGGCAGCAGTTAGTCCTGGGAAGTTCAGCTCTGTCCCCAAACTTGCACACTCAACCTTGGTAAAGCAAAAGCCATGTAGCTCACCAGATTTAGGAGGTATTTGGGGACCATCTCTTGAACCTGAAGCATTCCCTGAGCTTCCTGACCCTATTCCAGCTGCTTAACAATGAATACCCTCTGTCTTAGTCTGCTCGGGCTGCCAAAACAAAATAGCACAGACAAAGTGACTTAAAGAACAGAAATTTATTTCTCACAGTTCTGGAGGCTGTGAAGTCCAAGATCAAGGCAATGGTAGTTTGGTTCCTGGTAGGAGCCCACTTCCTGGCTTATAGTTGGCTGTCTTCTTGCCTTGTCCTCACATGATAGAGAAAGATCTCTGGTGTCTCTTTTATAAGGAAATTAGTTTAGTTGGTGCAGTGGCATGCACCTGCAGTCCCAGCTACATGGGAGGCGGAGGCAGGAGAATTACTTAATGCCAGGAGTTTGAGACCGCCTGGGCAACATAGCAAGACCCCATCTCTTAAAAAAATGAAAATAAAGACAATAGTTCTATCAATCATGGGACCACCCCTATAATCTCATTTAACCTTAATCACCTCTTTAAAGGCTTTATCTCCAATAGGGCTTAGGACACAATTCAGTCCATGGCATCCTCCTACCTACATATAGTAATTTTCTTCTGGAAAGAGTTCTGATAATAACAGCTTCCTCCATTTCTGGTCTATTTCCAATGATACCTGGGGCCTCTGCCCAGCTGCTTCATCCTAACATAGCTGGAGAGGGGCAAGTACGATGTAATGTCTCCTACCTAAAATAGAGCCTCCACTTCGTGCCCAGAGACTCATGTTACTCTAGAGAAACAGTTTCATGTTTTCCCACTTTGATTCAGATTTTCAAATCTCTGACCCTCAGGGTCTTAAAAAGACCTTGAGTGGCCCTGTGCACTGTTTACTTGTGGAATAACTGTCCCCCATCACATCAAACATATTAAATATAATGTATATATAATGAAGTAAGAATGGGGCAGTAACCAATGGATCAAATGTTTTGATTTATAGATATTCAGTATTACATTTATTAATTTATATTTTTCATACTTGAGAACTAATATTCTTTCCAGGGATCAAATATTTTTATGGGCCCTTGAAAAGCAGGCAGACCTTAAGCACGGGACCGACAGTGAATAGAGTGGTCTGGCGGACACTTGGCAATCCCACCAAGTTGCCAGGGTGTTGTCACAGTGCATAAGGCCCTTTGGTTAGATTGATTCATGCTGTTTGCAGACACATATAATGGAGTTCATAGTCCCTGGCAAATTACATTAAAATTGATAAAATAAGGAAGAACAAAAAAGCCAGATTGAACTGATTTACCTGAAATTAATTGTTGCATCTGCTGCACATAATCCCTTTGAATTAAATAGTTTTTAGCCCCAAACTGATTAGACTGATACATTTCCATGTACCAGAAGGTGGCTAAGTCTAACTCTAGCTTTATCTGAGTCTATTTATTTTACGTTCTTCTAAAATATCAAAACATAACAAGCTCTGTGAGTAGTTTATATTTGGCAGGGAAAGTCTCCTGCCCAAAAGAAAATGTGCTTGGTCACTTTCTATTGCCTGAAATGATTATTAGAGATTTATTTCTTAGGCACAAAGCTTTGTATTTGATCGAAGTTTTAGTATTCTTGGGAAAAGCAAAGCATCAAACTTTATTTACATCTTTCTTTCTGAGTTGATCAGCTCCATTTGTAAGAGCAGATTGTAGTAGGGGAAAGAGATCACTATGACCGGGGAGGCAGGTGGATGGTGCAGAGGAAGGGGGTCCACGGGCGTCAGGAGCTCGCTGAAGAGAGCTTCGGAGAAGGCAGACAGAGACATGGCACAGTTTCACAGACTTGCCTCCGGGCCACCCAGGCTAAACAACCTGAAAAAGATGAAAGATGAAATGGGAGGAAAAGAGAAACACAGAGTGGGGGCAATGGAGTGATTGGGATAACACGAAGAAGAAAAAGAGAACAGAAGAGAGAGGATAAAATCCAGAGACTGGAAAGATCCATTAAAAAGGATGGAGGGGGAACTGGGGGCAAAAAGGAGCAAATAATAAGTGAAAGTACAAGGAGAGAGAGAGGGAGAGAGAAGAAAAAATGGAGCCATAAAATTCCGAGGTGAAAAGGAGTCAGATAACTACTCAAAAATTTTAGAAATTATTCTTGCTTTATTTTCCTGAGATGGTTCTCATCTTGTCAGACCCCGGGGCGTACCTGGTCAGGACTTTTCATTCGCTCTTAATCGCTTTTCCTCGGGGAGGCCCGTGCTGAGCCCACGTTCACTGAGCACCTACTGTGCGTTGTCCACCAAGACTAGCGAGCAGGTTCACTTCATTATCTCATCCACTCTTCGTGTCTGTCCTGCAAGAAGGTGTTGTTTCTACCATAGTACAGTGAGGACTTTGGGCTCAAAGACTTTAAGTGCTTTCCCAAGGTCACTTAGCAGGCATTTCGTGGAAATGACATTTGGCCCATAATTGTGGACAAAGCCAAGCATTATTCTTTCTCTTACACCGAGGTGCCTGCTATGAGCCCTTTTCCGCCTAAGGACTATTTCCCACTGTCTCTATTTCTAAAATATTATTACCAGCCCAATCCATGAATTCTGGAATCTATTTCAAATGAAATGTTCCATGTAGGTACCTCTTACATAGTCTTCAGCTGGAGAAGCACAAACTTGTCTTCAAAGCCCCTGTGGCTGTCTCCACTTTACAAAGGAGGAAAAAAAAATATGCTTAACAATTAACTTTCTTAGAATGTTATTGCCTCTTTGGGTTATGCTGAGTCTAAAAAGATCACGTACCCAAATTCCATCATAACCTCTGCTACCTGCTCACACTCTTGGTTGAATTTAATGTGGGCGCTCTTTGCAGAGAAAGAAAGTAACATTAATAATACATCATTGTTGATGCTCCCAAAAGGAGAATCCTCAAAAGTCCTTATACCCAACATTGTTTTTCTTCCAATTACTATCACAGAATTTCAAATGATGTTCTTGTCCAAAGTCTCAGGGAAAAAAAAAGAAAATGAGATCACTGTATGAGTTTATTTTTCCTTGATGAATATCGGAAGGGAGCATTGCTGAGTTTGTAAGTGACTTGGTGGGTTTCATTCCTGGTATTTCTGTAATGCTACAGAAAGCCCCCACTGATTTCCTAATGAAATGAAGTTGCAATGCAAGCCATATGGAGAAAGGCGTCATGTTTACTGCCTACAGCAGTGTGGGGCAGGGCTGGTCTCACACACACACACAGGCGGTGTGCCATGGTCCTAAGTAGCTCCACAACGGCCAACAGTCATTTCCTCGGGCCAGGGGATCGCCATGGTGGGAATCATCAGGGCTGCTCACAGATATTCTGATTCCCTCCTTCTAGGCACATAACAGGATTCCACTTCCTCAGCCCTCCCCCAAAAGTTAGGCATGGCCAAGTCACTTGTTTGGGCCAGTGACATATGAGCAGAAGTGATAGGTGTCCTTTCTATGCAGAAGACTTTAGGAGCCACTTCATGAGCTGCCATATGCTTTTTCATGCCTTGGAAATCATGGAAGCACATTGAGACAGAGCCTCCTTCAGCCTGGGTCCCTGAGTGTACCAACAGTGATCAGAGACCTGTGCCAGTCCATGTGGGAAATGGAGCATGCGCAAGAACTATAACTTTTGTTGTTATAAACAACCAAGAATTGGTTTTCTTAAATTACTACAGTATAACCCAGCCTACCTGGTTGATATTGAAATTAGTATCAAATGTTCTGAAAACCAAAACCTAAAATTTTGGTATCGACTTAGTGTTCATGCAATGAGTAGCAAGGAAACTAGAGAGATGACAATACGTGTTATGAAGTGCTGACATATTTAGTAAAAGTGTCACCTGCAATAACTTGGAAAGCAAATAATACAGCTAATATACCTACAGCTCTACAAGAAGCAGTTGGAAAATATAATGTTAATAGTGTATGTTGGGCACGGCTGCTTGCATTTGGCAAAGTATATACACAAAAAATATAAACTTTCAAATGAATGAGGCATTGTGTAAACAGAAATGAAAGGGAATAGAGAGATACTGGAACAATAAAAAAAAATTGAAAATTCATTTGCACAACAAAAGCCAATTAAAATTCAGCCTTTCAGTAAGGGTCAAAGTACAGGTTTGACTCTATCCTGCTATTAAAACCTCTGAAAGAGTTAAGGTATCTTAGAGGAAGGATCCAACAAAGATTATGACCTCCAGTAAGTATTTTCCTTTAGACAAAAATCACTTAGGAAAAAGAGACAAAGGGTGTAGCTCTCCTACTGAAGCCTGATAGGCATTAAAATACCTGAAATTAAGAGAGACAGGAAAGCAAAGAAATATAAAAAATCTAAGCAGTCTATCTAGACAAGAACTGCACGTGTAGCTATTCGTACTTGTAGCTAATTGAAATCAAATAGATTAGAAACCAACTCGGTTTTTGAGAGAGCTTAAGAGAAGTATCAGTCTGGATTAAAAGAGACTGTCACTGATCAAGACATAAAACAACGCTCGGGCTCCCAACTATCTACAGGGAGGAAACGGATGAGGAGCTAAGGAAGGCGTAATCTCTAATGTCCACTTCAGATGTGGCCAAGGATGATTATGGAAAAGGAGTAAAATCCCAGAAGGCAAAGCCAAGGACCACAGAGAGGAAAGTCTCAGAGAGCCTCATGGAGCCAGTGGAATGAGGCCTACACCCATGAACATTTCCCGCCCAAAGGATAGGGGCCCCGGCAATGTCTGCCTGGTGGGGTTTCACAGTTGCTACAGACCCCTGTCTTCTGTTCCTCTCCCATTCTTTCCCTTCCCAAATGGAGTACTTATTGTAGTTACCCATTCCACCAGTGTTTGAGTGATGAAGGCTGAGCAGATAATTTATTTTCTTTCTTTCTAGTCCATAGTTATTTATAATATTATTTGATAGCATTTTATACCTTGTAAAATATTTTCACATGTTTTATTTCATCCTCGCAATAACTTTGAAAGGTAGATATTCCTGTTCTGATTTAGTAAATGAGGATGTCGAGGCTTAAAACAAATGACTTTGCAAGTTTACATAGCAAAAAATTATTTATTATGGTGCTTTCTAATACCAAGCTCGAAAAGAATTTTACACACAGTAAAATTTTAAATATGGTCGAAGGCGGGGAAAGATGGATAAATACAAACAAAGAGATCTATAGACTAAGATGCTACCTATCTGGGGAAACAGGCCTGAGTAGGAAACAGCAGCTGGGAATCTGACAGCGTATTGTCTAGGGAGAAACTGGGGTACATAGACAGATAGCAGCTGCCTTGGGAAAATGTTGTTTACAGTGAGGTTTACTTTGGTGAGCTGCTTGTAGACTCTTACATCTCTCACATGTAAAATAAAATACTGAATTATTTCAGGGGGTATTAAGGAAAAACACCTTTGTATAAGCCTTTTACTTCTGTTATTCTCTCTGGATGGAGGCTAAGAAGACTCCTGGTCACCTTCCTTGGACAGTTACACAATTGCTTCCCTATATTTTTTTACCCACTGCTCTTATAACAGTGGTTTTCAAATTTTGATGTGTGCAAGAATCACCCACGAAAGGCAGGTTTCCTTCCAAGGATTCTGAGCTTGGATGATGCCCAAGAAAATGCCTTTTTCAAAAGCACACGAGACGATTCCGATACAGGTGTTCCGAGGATCGTACTAGGAAACGCTGTCCTAGAAGGTACCTACTCCATGTGCTGGAGGCAGCCTTTGCGAACGTGCTTCTCACAGTGTGAAGGTGGCTCTAGACTTCAGTTCAAATCAATCTCTGTGGTCTTAGTAGTCGTTCTGCGCTAGTAACATTTTCTTTATTTTCGAAGTAATATGCTATCTCTTTTCTCCCCACCCAAATTTTACAGGACAGACAAGGAACTATTTTTTTATTATATGAGCACCTGAAGAGAGAGAAGTTGGGAATGTTGTGAGTATGAATCGTCTCTATAAGATGGAATAAGCTAAGAAAATAGACTATAACCACCACCAAGAATGGTGCTTCTTGTGCATTTTAATCAGCATGATGATTTATTGAAAGTCTATATTATTTTATTTAGATCCTCAGGTATTTCATAAAATGAATTTAGATGTGTCCATAGGCGTTCGTAAATATAACTGATTAATTATCCAGAGTTGGCAGGTTGGAGTTTAGACTTAACGACATATCACATTCAAACATACATGCGTGTAAGGCATGTCAAATCTGACTGATGGGGCCAGCTCAGGTGTCCAGATTACGCAAAGGCAGCTGTCATCCCGGCATGCTTAGGAAAGCGCTCTGGTGTCTTGGCAAAATGTTCCCCCAAAAGGCAGAGTCTGTTGCCCCTGTAAGATCCAGCTTCAGCCCTGACCTTCTCAAGGTACACGTATGCTGAGCAGAGTCCTGCCGGCAACACGCAGGAGGCCTCGACATACGCTGCTCCCACACTTCTCTCCAGGGTATTTCGAAGAGCTAGCAAAATCGTCTCCTCATCCAGGACTCAGAGATTCTAGAGCCACAGCCTCGAGTTACCTCATATTCCGTATCTTGGCATATAGTTATTTGGTACCTCTAAGTCATCCTACCTTATTGGGAAACTGTTTCTGCCTTATATTTCTCTTCCTTGTACCATCTACAGCAGTGTAGACATTGTAGCCTCATATTGAAACACACACACACACACACACACACACACACAGAGCCAGATCTGGTCTTATAAAAACTAACCAAATAAGAGTCCATTCCTCTACTAAGCATTGACGTTCCTGAGCAGCCTCAGTTCCCCATCCCCTACTTCTCCCCCACCTCCACCCCCCACGCCAGTCTCCTGGAAACTGATTCAAAGAGCTGTGCACCAAAACAAGCAAACAGGTGCATAGGGCAGATCTCAACTCCCCTATCCAAAACACAGTCCTTTGTTTTACCAAAGCATTCTCGGTTATTTATAACAAACCATTATCAATGCAGTGATATTCCCCCTTATCAATCCTTTTGAACTTTTGCAAATGTTCTGTTTTCTTCCCCTTGGAGATAGATTGTGGCTACAATTTAATCTAGTGCTTACAGCCTTAAATGCTTCTCGTCACCTGGGAGGAGGACAAGCTGGCTGTTTGAGTCCTCCCCTCCAGTTCCAAACCTTTCCCAAGATCCCACAAGCATGCAAAACTTGCTGAGTCTTGTTAAGAAAGTCCCTTCACTGGGGGTTCGCCCCACCCTTTTGTTACACTGCCCTGAAAGCAGCAGAAATGAGCCTCAATCCACAAGATCCCAGCAAGCATGCATTCATCTTCTCTGCCCAGGTGTTCCCATCTTCTCTGCCCAGGTGTTCCCGTCCAGGATGACAACAGAGCCAGGGACACCTCTGAGTATGTGCAGGGAAGCAGTTGCCCTTGTCTCCCAGCGATGTTCTGCCCCTCAGCTCTCTCCCTGCCCTACCTTGCCTATCATAAAATTCAAAAGCATTTAATCAACCATGCCAGGCACAGTTCTAGGTGTTGGAGAAACAGCAATGAACCAAACAAGTTCATTGCCCCCAAGAAGCTGACATTGTAGTGGGGCGTGCAATAAGCAAGTAAACAGGCAAAGGTGTTCTAGCCTATCAACTGCTGACAAGCCAGGAAAGGGGCACGGCAGTTTATTAGTAGCTGCAATGCTTCCTATTCCACTCTCTGCAAACTTGACAGTATGACGCCAGGGCTGTGGTAGGACATAGGCCACCAGGCGGTTACTGGGACTAGGCGAACCAAGCAGTCAACTGGATGTGAAGTTGGCAAGCTGGGAAAAAGAAATTTGCGTTTTCCTGAGTTATGAGACTAATTAAGCAAGAAAGGTGCAAGGTCCAAGTATATTTCTAATCTCAGGAATTCAGACAGATGAGTTTGTTAAGTACAAAGAACTAGAAATCAGAACACAGAAATGTGAGCTCTAGCTTACTGGGCACCAGCTGGTGTGAGAGGTTAACTGCAAAGACAACCTGGGCCAGGACTGGAACTAGACAAACCCTACGCACGTGGGATGGGGCTGGGAGGGGTGCACTTCCTTCTGGTGATGGGAGAAGAGCAGTCACACAGGCCAAATACAGGACCCAGGACCCAGGTGCCTGGAGGTCATCCCGAGAAGCAGCCAATTCACAGCATCAGGAAAGTTCCAACCACAAAGAGTGAAAGGACGACCTGAGAGCTATGTAGGGGGAGCCCGACCACAGGAGCTCAGAAAAGAGGACACTCTTAGAGACCCAGGCCAGAGGCGGGTGGCATGAAGAAAGGTAGTCAGCAGGTGACAGAACCGAGCAGAGGCTGACAGTCAGGGCGGGACTTGTGTCCCAGAACGGACGGATGAGACCTGGGTAGGAGTAACAGGGCAGAGGCAGAGTTTCTGGGGAGTGGGCTGCAGGGAGATTTATGCAGATGGGAGCTGGGGCACAGAGGAGCCAGGCAAGAGGAAAACCATCGCATAATTTAGGAGCTAGCAGAAGAGACTGTTTCATGAACAAAGAAACCCCCGATCATCACACTGACCTAGCAGCACGGTGATTTGATGCTGAAGCCCACAAAATGAATTATTAGACTGGTAACCAAGAGGAACTCGCCCAGCTGTCCCTACACCTGCACCTGAGATTTCAGGCAAGGATGCCTTGACCCACAGGCTAGCGTCAGCAGTAGCAATAGTCCTATTGGCGTGCCTCCTAGATGGTTATTGCTACTCACATGTCCTACAGGGAGGGCACTGTTGACAGGGACCTCCTGAAAGATTCCTGTGCCTCCTCCACTGCTTTCTGCCCCTCCTTATTCTCATCCCTTACTGCGCTCAGAGAGCCAGAGAATGTCAGAGCAGGGAAGGACCTGGGGGATTGATGGATCTTCATATTATGGATGGGAAACTGAGGCTTAGAGAGGGTGTGATTTGCCTGGGTCCCACAGTAGGTTGCCTGTGTCCTGGTCCTGAACCTGGTGTTCTTTTCACTACACCACAAAGTCTACCTTGAGAGACCACCTTGTATAGGTAGCCCTACTATGTGATGCAGAGATTCTCAGATTGTCGTGAGGTGCGTCGCTTGTGCAAGTTTGTACAGATCTTGCTGATTTGCTTTGTCTGAATATTAGGTAGGATTCAAGGTTATCCCTAGAATTCTCACTTGCATATGGCTGTGCTTTCTTAAGTGTGAGATAAAAGGCTGGAATCACCACTACTGTATTAGGAATTGCACTAAGGTATAAACATGGGAGGTTGAGAAAAGATGATTTAATAGACAATGGCAAAGACAGTCCTGTTTCCTAGAACTCAAGTTGAAAAAGTAAAGATGAGCAAATAAAAACTTTTTTTTCTTCGTGTTGCTTAATTTTCCCTGGAGCTTTCCGGGGAGGCCTTTCCTGTGATGGTGGCTTTGTTCGGCTTCCTTGCGATCAGGTCATGCCAGGTGATTGTCAAAAAGGAGAGGGAGCTCACACAGAGGATGGCTTTTCAGACCAGAGATTGTGGTTTGGCTTTTCTGGGATAACTTCATACCAACTCCATTTATTCTGGGATATTTCTGGGAAATAGTGGAATTCGAGGAGAAATTTCAAGGAAGAGAAAATGAAGGAAATTCCAGAAACGAATTAATTAATAGGGAACAGGGACTTGGAGTCCATCCAGCCTCTTAGTTCTCAGCCCAGAGAATGTAGACATCAGGAGGCTGAGGGGAGACCACGGAGGGGCATGAATCCATCTGTGAACACAGCATCGTACGTGCACCTGCACACACAGACACACAGACACAGCTGTAACTTAAGTGTGAACCTCAATTTTTAGTATATATAAGAATCACCTGGGGAGCTTGGTGAACCCGCACATTCCTGGACCCCAAACTCAAAGATTCTGATTTCGTCGATCTGGATTAGAGCCCAGGAATCTGCTGTTTTTTAAGAAGCATTCAGGGTCTAATACATACTGACCCTGTGGCAGTAAAATACACAATCACTTTTTTAAATTACCGACTCTGGAGTTGCCTTTGGCTATTATTTATGTTCTTAAAAGAGACACTAACGTTCAGCAGCTATAAGAGGTAAGCTGTCCTTGGATTCGGGGAATGGGACTCAAAAGGTGAGAAGCACTGATCTAGTCCAATTCCTTCATTTCGGAGAAAAGGAATTGAAGACCCAGAGAGCTTAATTAAGCAACTTGCCCGAAGCCACGCAGTCAGTGGCAGGACAGCGAGCCCTGGTCTCCTGCCGTAGGGGCCGGGAAGCTTTGGGACCCCACCCTGACACAGGGAAAGTCTGATGAGGCTGGAAGGCGCCATCCCAAAGGGGGCTGAGCCTTACACTGTGAGGTGACTTAGCTTACAGGTAAATGAGAAAGAAGTAATCCTACCACTTCTGGGCAGAACACTTTTTAAATATTAATCCAGTCATTTAGCCTATTTTATTTTTTCCTTCAATAAAGAACATTCAAAAAATAGCTAGAAAATTACCCTAGAGTTTTGTTTCCGAATTAAAACTTACCACGATCTAGTTGTCTGGGAATGTTCACTGACCGCAGCATGATGCCACACGGTGGTTTGCACGTTGTCTCTGAAGTCTTCTTAGAGTGAGCGTTCAGCTTTGTAAAGACGGCTGGTCAGGAACGGGGCACGTTCTCCGCTGAACTTGGGCAGAGCACCCTCAGGAGGAGCAGGGATCACTTGCACACCTGAAATAGATAGTGAGTCCCAGACAAAAGTCTCCGGGACCCCGAGTCGCAAACGTCTCTGTAGACAAGGCAATTGTTAGGCATGGATCACACTCAGCAACGATTCTCTTAAACCCACTTAAAACAATTTTTAAAATGAGCTCATACCATGTCCTAGCTCAGTGGTAGCCTTTCCTGGAAATGACTGACCCTATTGCTGTATTCTGCTAAGTTGATTAATAAAAAATATTTATTACGCAAATCCTTTTTGTTGACAAGTTAAAATGGAGCCTCATCTTTCATATCTCCCTGAAGATTGCCACCTTGTGAGATTGAAAATACTCATTAAATTCCATCACCAGACAGGCACAAATGAGAGGGCGATTGTTTTTAAGCATGTGAGGGGAATCGTTGGTAAACTCATTTGTTTGGATATCATTAACAGAACAATCGGCGAGAATCTCCAGGGGGTCCTCATGACCTTTGCTCGCAATCTCTTCATCATCCATCAAGAAATATCAGCACCTAATATGCAAGGCGAGACCAATTTTAAGGTGAGGTGTTAATTAACTAACGATCCTGGTTAATTTCTATACAACGGCTGAAAATACCTCATGCTGTATTGTAAACAAGTGCTAAACCATCTTTTTTTTTTTTTTTTATTGTAAGCAGTACATATTTTACAATGTGCAGGGTCAATATTGTAAGGTTCCCACTGAAGCCGTTAGTTAAATTTAATAGCTTGAAACTTTTTCTTTGAAATATCGTAGACTTGCTTTTAGCTTGCTGCCATTTTCAGACCCACGCTTCTAAGGGAGAAGAGCTTCCTGATGTGGGAGGGGAAGCTAAAACATCACAGTGGAACCAAAACAGAGATTGTCACAACCATGAATTGTGAATGTAATCTGTCCAGATTTCAGATAATACAATGTCTGGCTAGTGTTTCCTGGAGGGGCCCAGTTTCTAGAGCTGGAGAAGTTCTAAGACCCAAGAAGGCAATGTGTATTAGGGAGAAGAAGGAAATAAACCCCAGCACATGTGTGGGCTATCTACCCACCCTGTTTCCCCAAAGTGGGGTGAATGTCTCACCACTAATACTTGGAAGCCTCCCTATTACCTGTAACGATGTTAGTCCGTAAAATCCAGTTGTGTATAATTGATTAGAAGTCTCCAAACTCTAAAATACAGGAGCAAGATCTGAGGCAGGGGTAAGGGGTTGAAACATCAGCTGAACAGAGATGAGACCATGTGGTATTGATCAGGAAAGTCTGAATCTTATTCTTAACCTAGGCCTGCCTTCGTCATGTTTGAAAGAACTCAATTGGAAACCCCATGTGATTTCTCTCTTAAATGGAAAGTTCAGCAAAAGCTTGATAAAAATATAATTTTTAGGTTAGGCATAGTAGCTCACACCTGTAATCCCAGCACTTTGGGAGGCTGAGACAGGATGATCCCTTGAGTCCAGGAGTTTGAGACCAGTCTGGGCAACATAGCAAGACCTTGTCTCTACAAAAATTTTTTTAAAAATTATCCAGGCATGGTGGTGCTCTCCTGTAGCCCCAGCTACTGGGGAGGCTGAGGTGGGAGGAACACTTGAGCCCAGGAGTTCAAGGCTGCGGTGAGCTGTGATCATGCCACTGCACTCCAGCTTGGGTAACGGAATCATACTCTGTCTCTAAAAAATTAAATATATATATATATATACATATATATATAAATTTTAATACATTTTTTACTTGAGCTAGGGCCTAGCTCCTTTAGTAACAGTAACAATGATAACAATGCTTACTTTTCAAAGTGATTTTATGAGCTGGGGAATGACCATTGCTTTTCCTACAACGTGATTGAGAAGATTCAATAAAAAATAGACCCTATGTTACCTCAGTGTACGGTGGTTCTAAAGGATACTTGTTCATCATTTATACTTTAAGTTCCTTCTAGCTAGCATCATTTTAACTGTTAACTACCATGTGCAAAATTTCAAGCCTGTCCAAATATAGCTAATAAGAAGGATATGGTTTATCCCCAAATCCACACAGACTAAGCAGACTCTGAGCGTGGGCTGGAGATTGGCAGAGATGACCACCCTTGAAAAAATGAAGGCTATTTCTCTGCCCTTTCTCTGACTTTCAAAATCATTAAAAGTCACATGTTTTCAGGTAGCTTTTAAATATCTCATGATTTCTAGCCTTCACAGATGAATCATTATTTTCTTGATTTTTACTTGTGTTAGAAGGTCTAAAGGCAAAAACTGTAAATCTCAATAATATAGGTATAATAACAAAGACTTGAAAAGTAGAATACATTCATCTTTGGTAATATTTTCTGTCTACTACCTAGTGGCATTATAATGGTATTTTCTGTTTGTAAACAAAGATTTACCAGCAAAATATAGGATGAATAAAAATGGAAAGTGATACAGGAAAAGCATTTAACAAAGTCCAACACCCTTTTCAATAAAAATGCTCAATAAAATAAGATTAGAAGGTAACTTCCTTTAGCCAAAATGGGCATCTGCAAAAAAAACCACAATCACTTCTCAGCCTTTGGGCTAAGATCAAGTGTAATACAAAATCCACAGCTAACATTTAAGTTAGTGGTACAAGACCCAAAGTTTTCCCCCCAAGATCAGGAACAAAATGAGGATGTCTGCTCTTGCTACTTTTATTCATCATTATAGTAGAGGTTTTGGATGGGTAATTGGGCAAGAAAAAGAAACAAAAAGCATCCATATTAGAAAGATGGAAGTAAAACTATCTCTATTTGCAGATGGCAAATTCTTGTAATTAGTAAATCCTAAAGAAACCACAAATAATCTATTAAAATTCAGCAAGGCTGCAGGATATAAGATCAATATACAAAAGTCAATTGTATTTCTATACATTAGCAATAAACAATCCAAAAATAAAATTTAAAAAATTTAAGTTACAATAGCATCAAAAAGAATAAAATACTTCAGCATAAATTTAACAGAAGTGCAAGGTTTGTGCAATGCAAACCACAAATCATCTGTGAAAAAAATCAAAGATCTAAATAAATGGAAAGACCTTCTGCATTGGAAGACTTAATATTTCTAAGATGCCAATAGTTCTGAAATTAGTCTACAGATTCAATGCAATTCCTATCAAAATCGCTGCTAGCTCTTTTATAGAAATCGACAAAGTGATCCTAAAATTCATGTGTAAATGCAAGGGACCCAAATAACCAAAATGATCTTGAAAGGAAGAACAAAGTTGGAAGACTCACATTCTCAATTTCAAAACTTACTACAAAGCTATAATAATCACGACAGTATTGTAGTAGCATAAGAATAGATATATAGATCAATGGAATAGAATTGAGAGTCCAGAAATAAACCCATACATTATGGTCGGTTGATTTTTGTCAAAGGTGCCAAAAAAATTCAATGGGAAAAATATTAATAGTTTTTTAAACAAGTGGTGCTATTATTGAAACTGCAAAGGGGCTTAGCCTAGATCTGGTTACTCACCACACAGAGACAAAGAGAATTGCCAAGGAGGAAAGAAAATTTTAATATGAAAGATGTCAGGCAATGGGGAGAAGCAGCCTCAAAATCATCTCCCTTACTAACGGAGACTACAGGCTTTCTAAACAGAGGCTCTGTGCATTGGGACAGGTTGTGTTGAAATGAACAAGAGGCTAGTGCTTTGGGCAGGTTGTGTTTAAATTAACAAGGGGCTCTTTGCATTGTGGCAGGCTAGTGAGAGATGGTGAGTCATGGTGTCAGGAAGTCTACCAGGGGACTTCAGAATCTCAATTCCTTTGTCTTGCAGAAATCCCACCATTTCTGGGAAACAACTCAAAAAGTTCAAGTAGTTATTTAAGGGAGAGGATTATAAAAAATATATAGGGGTCATTGAAATTTGTTCATAGAGCCAGTTACAGTGCTGGGACAAGTGGATATCCACATACAAATAAATGAAGGTGGACCTCTATGTCACATCATATACAAAAATAAAGCCAAAATGGATGAAAAACTAAATGTCAGAGCTAAAACTGTAAAACTCTTAGGAGAAAACATAGGTGTAAATCTTGGGTTAGTAATGGTTTGTTAGATCTGATGCCTAAAAGACAAGCAACCAAAGTGAAAATAGATATATTGTACTTCAACAAAATCTAAAATTTTATGCATCAAAAGATACTATCAAGAAAATAAAAAGAAGATCGGGCGTGATGGCTCACACCTGTAATACTAGCACTCTGGGAGGCTAAGGCTGGAGGATTGCTTGAGGTCAGGAGTTCGAGACCAGCCTGAGCAAGAGTGAGACCCCGTCTTTACTAAAAATAGAAAGAAATTAGCTGGGTAACTAAAAATATATAGAAAAAAATTAGCCAGGCATGGTGGCACATGCCTGTAGTCCCAGTTACCTGGGAGGCTGAGGCAGAAGGATTGTTAAGCCCAGGAGGTTGAGGTTGGTGTGAGCTAGGGTGACACCATGGCACTCTAGCCCAGGCAACAGAGTGAGACTCTGTTTCAAACAAAAGAAAGAAAGTAAAAAGACAGACAGCCCACAGAATGGGAGACAATATTTAAAAATCATATATCTGATAAAGCGCTAGCATCCACAATATATAAAGTACTCGTACAACTCAACAATAGAAAAACAAATAACCCAATTAAAAAGAGAGCAAAGTATTTGAAGATTTTTCTTTGAAGAAGATATACAAATGGCCAATAAATATTTGAAGAAATGCCCAACATCATAAGTCATTAGTGAAACACAAATCAAAACCATAACAAGATACCATTTTACACCCACTAAGATGGCTACAATTAAAAAAAGCAGGCAATATCAAGTGTTGACAAGGATATGGAGAAACTGGAAACTGGAATCCTCATCCATTGTTGGTCAGAATATAAAATAGTGTCATAACTGTAAAGTTAGCAGTTCCTCAAAAAATTAAACATAAAATTTCCCTATGACCAGCAATTCCACTCCTGGCTACATACTCAAGAGTGTTGAAAACATGTTCACGCAAAAGCTTGTACCTTAATGTTCTTGGAAGCATTATTCATAATAGTAAAAAAGTAGAAACAGCCAAATGTCCATGAACTGACATTGTGTATTATATGGATGAACCTTGAAAACGTTATGCTAAGTGAAAGAAGCCAGTCACAAAAGACTACATGTGATTCCACTTATATGAAATGTAGCTGCAGGCAAATCCATAGTTCTAGAAAGTAGATTAGTAGTTTCCAGAGGATGGAGGAGCAGAGACTATTGGGGGTGACTACTAATGGGCACAGGGTTTCTATTTCGGGGAATAAAATGTTCTGGAATTACATAGTGGTGATGGTTGCTTGTGAATATACTAAAAGCCACTGATTTGTACACTTTATTAGAGTGACTTTTATGGTATGGGAATCATACCTTAATAAAATATCAATTAAGTAAAATGGGAAGGTTCGTTTTTCTTCCCAGCAACCAATGGAAATAAACCCTCCCATAAGTCTTTTAGCCCTCCTTTTAGAGTGACGAGACCAGTTTGCTTCTCAAACTATCTGTAGTGAAGAACCTATTTGTTCTGTTTTGTTTTGTTTTCTGACCTGTCATGGAGCAATATTCTTGTAAAATACAATAAAAATTAAATTACTAAAAAAAAATTAAAAAATTAAAGATGTACAAAATAGAAGCCCAGTGTTTTTTCTTTGTTAGACTTAATAGACATAAAATTCTAGAAAGAGTTGCAAACTCTTACTCTCTACTTTTTTACTCATTTCAGCAAGACTGGTAACCAGTGATTTATAGACAGATGCCAGTCACTGGAACATACTTTGAGTAGAACTGGTCTAATTATCCTTAACTTGAAAACAGAGCAACTGGTTGGTAGGGGGGTTGTAAGAGATGTTTAAGTAATGACTGAATGAATATTGTTTTTATCGTTTGTTTACAGACCACCATTAAGGATATTGAAAGCATTCTAGGTGTAACAGAGGAAAACAAAATGAAATTTGAAGAAGAGGAACAGTCCAAAGTTGATAAAAATTGTCTCTAATCCTGATAAATGATCCTGGAATACATTATGATTTGGGATCCCGATGTGAAGCAAAAAAGGCAATATTCCTTTTGCAGTGAGGAATTACAAGTACGGGGAAATTAGTTTGCTTTGTTTGCTAGGAGGTAAATCAGAACAGATTATAATGAAATGCTCTTTTTAAAAAATTGTTTATTAAGTGATCTTATTTTGCTTATTAAATAAACCAAAACCTATTTGTGTTTTCACTTGAGAGTGTTGAACAATCCTTTCCTCTTCCCAAATTTAGGAAAAGGAAATCTAATAGAAGAAAGTTAAAAGTCTTACTGATATCACTTCTACATTTACTTCTTTATAATCTTCAAGATTATGGAGCTTTTTTTCTTAATGTTTTATAAAGTTTTCTCCTTTCAATTTTTTATTTTCTTTAAGAGAAAGGATCTTGCTCTGTTTCCCAGGCTGGAGTGCAATAGCTTGATCATAGCTAACTGTAACCTTGAACTTCCAGCTACTCCAGAACTTAGGCAGGGCTCAAGCGATCCTCCTGCCTCAGCCTGGGGAGTAGCTGGGGCTACAGGCGTGCACCACCATGCCCAGCTCTCTCCTCCTATTTCTGATAGTCATTTATCATCTGCATTTAAAAAATTGAATATACTGATGGAAAATGGCTGAGAAAAAAAAAATTGAATAAAGGCTTAATCATTGCTGTTTGGAAAAAACACAAATGTCTTTTTTTTCCAAGACTTGAAACTGTATGAATTTTTTAAGTGATTCTTTACCATTCGTTCTGTTTTTGTTGTACCAAGCCACTGTTGTTTGTGGTTGTTGCCATTTTTCAAAAAGTAGGATAAGCCAACATCTAGTTAGACAAAGCACCAGAATTAATCTAGATGGCAGTATCTGCTCTTAGTTTAAGATAGAGCGTAACTTGAGCCCTCTAGCTTGAATAAACATTTGTATTCTCTAGTTCTCCATTTAAAACAGCAGTAGGATTTTTTCAAGCGTTGTTCAACAGTGCAGTACCTTTAAAAGAGCAAATTGCTAAAATTCTGCAGTGCTGGCACTAACTTTCAGCATTTGCTTCATTATTGTCTAAAAATATGCAAGCTGCAACACCAAAATCATGTATTGTTTTAAAGAGTGACTTTTATATCCATAAAAATATCTGAGCGTGTTGGGGGAAGGAGGCGTATTCTTACCTATGGAATTTCAATAATTTTTTTTTTACTGTGTTTCACCCACAGGCTAAGAGTCTCTGCAATAAAATTAACATTTCTCTGTGTGTCAGCTTTTGTTTTGCTATAGCTGGAAATACATTAATTAGCCAGGTTCCCTGCCTGTGCTAGGTACAGTGATGACCTCTTTTTCCTGCCAGATCTCTCTAATCCATACGAGGGGCCCATTGTCCAGACACTTGACAGATAGGAAGTACTACATGCCCATTAGAGTCGCACCGTGATTGAAGCCAGAGCAACATAAGGTCCAAGAGACTCATTAGTTCACTGGCACAATCGTGTCCTGAGAGTAAATGAAACCCTCTGTCTCCCTATGGCTCTCATCTGCTCTGGACTTTAAGAGAAAACTGTCTCCATTTTGTTCAGCACAGCAGTGGACCATTCACATGGGGCGAGCCCCTTCTTAACAATGCAAAACTGTTCAATCTATCGGGGAAGTTTGTTATGTGAATTTTGATTAGCACTCCGGAGCCTCAAGCTGCTGGCAATAGTAAAACGTGTTCGCTGTCCTGAACCACTTTTTTTTAGCCACTTGATTGGTTTCTCAAACAATGTCACTTTCCTCCTTTGCATCTGCTATTAGCATACACCACAGAACGCCTATTTCCAAATTCAGATCTTCTACCCAGATTCAGGTCTTTCTAGAAAGCGCCTGGGAGCTAGGTTCTCTATCTAAACACCTACAGCTTCCAAATGAAAAGAGAAAAGTCGGTATAATAAAACAAGCACTTCAAGTAATTACATGGAAGAAGCCAAAGGACCAGATTAAATTAATGAAACCTTTTAATTACAGAACATTTGAAGGGAAGCATAGTCCATTACCTTTGGCACATGTATGTTACAAAGATACGGTATTATTGGTAAACTAAGGCAAGTTTGAAAAAAGAATCATTTATATGTGTACAATATCTAAAGTCAAGATTAATAACTGAGCTTTTTATTATACTAAATAAGAAACTGATTTGGCGGAAGTGATGTACCATTTTTCAGGAAGTTTTTGGGAGAAGCATGCATTAAACAGTAGAAGTATCCTTGTATGAGAATTGACCCATTATTTAATGTTAACTGTTTGCAGTGGTTGGAAAGCATTGTTTTTCTTTTTTCATTTCAGCCTCCCCAGAGCATTCTTGAATAAGTAATAACACACTTTATACTGACTTTAAAGAAACTGATTAGATGATAATATTAAATGACAATCTGTGCTGTCTACCTACTTACCTGCCTTCCACAATCCATTTACATTTACCATTTATTGAACACTTTCTAGTACTAGGTTTGTACTGTACTAGAAGCTTTATATCCATTATTTTATTCCATCTTTCCAACAAGCCCATGCAGATAGATACTACTCCTGTCTTCATTTTACTTAGGAGGAAATTGGGATTTAGTGAGAGTATCTCACCTTATGTCTCAGACTAAATGAAAAGAAATGTGGGATTGGTGGGGAGGAGGTGTATAAAAAAAAAAAAAAGAAAAGAAATGTTGGATCTGCTGTTTTTTAGCACAAATTCTAGCATGTGATGTAAAATAGTAGGTTCAGTTTCATTTGCCCCAGATCATGCAAGGAATTTGTACATTTTTTTAATCTTTTTTTTAATTTTCTTTTCCAGAACTTACAGTGTTGACATGTACATTTTTAGAATAACAAATTCTAGTGTGTTGCTTAAAATACAGATAGACAAGTTAACTTAAGCACACTTCCTGCTAATAAAATTAACTTGTGCTATTGACAACATCATAAGGCATCACAATTATGTGATCAAAGAACACAAGAGAAAAGGTGGCGCCAGTGGAATTCTCCGGTGATGGATCTGTAGGACTTTGGTGGAGAACTGGTAATGGAAATGCACAGGGGAGTTTGGAGGCTGGGATGTCAGGCCCGAAGTTTTGTTTGAGAGATGGGAATGAGGTCAAGAAATCCTGGAAAGGTTGGGAAAGGCTTCCAACAAGATGTAGAATAATCTAGCAGGAGTCTGGGGAGCGTTTTTTGTTTTTTTTCAGCTACACCATCCTAAGAATTGCAAGCATCCCATTTTTCAAGTATAAAAACATGTCTTTTATCACACGTAATATATTAGTAACCATCTGATAGCTTTAACAATTAATAATCATTTGTATTCATCTGGCACCTTTCTTCTAAAGAGCTCAAAGCACTTTACATTTGTTATCTCATTAATTCCCAACACTGTCCCTGTGGGGAAGGTAATAAGTATTTTAACATTTAAATGTTTATCTTTTAGGATTTCTCAAGCATACATTAATTATATTTCCAAAAATGTAAATGTTCATTAGTTTTATTTTACTGTTCCTCTGGCTTTAATGTGCATAACGAATTTGTTCAATTCTTGAACAATGTACGAATCATGATAAATCTTATCTGGAAAACTATAAATTAAGTTGCCAAGATAACATGAAGGTTATCAACAAGAGGTTGGGGAGGGAGGAAGCATTTGACTTTGCTTTTCCCACTGGAGGAAGTTTGGACCAATCCATTCAAAGATGCTGTGGCTCTTCTGTACCTTCTCTGCATCCCATTCCTTCCCAAAGGTGAGCCACAGGAGAGCCGGGCCTGTGTCTAAGAGTCCGAGGCAAACAGAGCTGCTATTTATATCATTGTTTTATTAATGATTTCATCAACGTGGGACAGAAACGTGATGCATTCCATCAGGAGTTACGTCCCAAAGAGTCACAGCATAATAAGGGCCAGGAACTCGTCTCCCCAGCCTTCCCTCTCTCTGGCCTGGCCATACCTTCCTCAATTTTCTAACTAGAAAAATGGCAGCTAATGATACCCTACTCCTTAGGGAAGCAGTCGAGATTAATTAGCCAACGTTGGGAGAGTGTTCCAAAGATGAAGTGTTCTACATAAATGTTTAAGTATTATTATTACATTGCTACTTCAAATGGAAGTTCTAACTTTGAAATGTGATTATACACTTTCCAAAAAAACCCCTTCATAACCACATATATAGGTTTATTTTTCACTCTAACAGTCTAACTCATGGTTGTGAAACTTTATTGCACTTGATGGAAGGCCTTGGCTTTTATTAGTTTTAAACTGCTGGTTTCTGGGGTATTTATGTAAATGAGGGAAAGATACCAAAACAGTAAATAATAAGCATGTCCCTGCTGTTTAAAAATCTGTTGGTAAAAACAACTTTTGTTTTAAGACCCTAAACATAGCACAGAAAAATATAGCTTTGGCATGTACGCATAAAATAGGTTTGTTGGTTTGGGTTTTGTTTTTTTTTTTTTTTGGATGGTAGTTTTTCCCTCAAGCATCTCTTTACCATTCTGTAAACATTTTGTTTCAGTTCTACAGTGTCACCATATATATGTATATCACCACACACACATATACATACACATACACACACAGAAATCAGAAATGAGAGAAGTAAAATGCTACATTTTAAGATTTTTTTATTTAACAAACTGTTATAAAGTATACCAGATGGCTAATTACAGCTCCCAGAAACAAAAGGCCACACCCAAGTTTATTGCAGTCGCCTCATAAGCAATGTTATGATGAAATCATGGTCCCATAAACTTGACAACAAAACAGCAGACCTTCCATTGATTGCAAAATAAACTCCAAATTCACATTCAAATTTTGGTTCATTTAGAGAATCATACCACTTTGCTTCTCAGCAAAGGACACAAAATTCTTACTTTGCAATCATTTAAAAACTCAAAATTAACTAGGAATACACTTTTTGTTTCCAGATTCCCTTTTTAGTCACTTTCCAATCATTTTCTTAGGTTTTTTTTTCCAAGTTGAATATCTATAACCACATTCCTAAGCCAAAAAAAACCTAGATCATTTGCAACAATAGTGAAAAATCAGAAAGATCTATATGTTCAACAGTTAGGGCATTGCTTAAAAATATGGAATATCAATATGAAATACCTCTATACAGCCATTTGAAAAGTCATGTTATTGCACCTGCCATATGATCCAGCCATTCCACTCCTACGTATTTATCCAAATTCAAATTTTGCTTCATTTAAAG